AAAATTCTGGGTAAGATGTTCATTTTGATTGTAGATATTCTTCCTATCATTGATAGTGGTAGGTTTTCCCATTTCATCAAGTCAGTCGCAATCTGCTGCTTAAGTTTATGATAGTTATTCTCTTTAAGTGTGCTGCATCTTGCAGTTAAGTATATCCCCAAATATTTGACTTTGTTTGTGAATTGAATCTCCAAGGCTTCTGCCAATTCTTCCTTTTGTCTTGATGGTATATTCTTTGCCAAATCTTCGTTTTATCTTTATTTATTTTCAAATCTGCTACTTTTCCATATTCCTCTATTCTCTCTATCATTGATAGATGTAGGTTTTCCCATTTCATCAAATCAGTTGCAATCTGCTGCTTAAGTTTATGATAGTTATTCTCTTTAAGTGTGCCGCATCTTGCAGTTAAGTATATCCCCAAATATTTGACTTTGTTTGTGAATTGAATCTCCAAGGCTTCTGCCAATTCTTCCTTTTGTCTTGATGGTATATTCTTTGTCAAAATCTTCGTTTTAACTTTATTTATTTTCAAACCTGCTACTTTTTCATATTCCTCTATTTTCTCTATCAATTTGGGTGCCGTTTCTAATGGGTCCTCAAGAATAACAAACCAAGTCATCTGCAAATGCTTGTAGTTTATATTCTTCTTTTTTAATTTTCATTCCTTTTATTTCTTTTTCTTCTCTGATCTTTCTATTTAAGATTTCTAATGTAAAAACAAAAAGTGGAGATGATAATGGGCAGCCTTGTGTCATATCTTTCTTTATTTCAATAGAATCTGTCAATTCTCCATTTATCATTATCTTTGCTGTTTGTTTGTAGTATATGGGTTGAATGGCTTGGGTAAATTTCTTACCAAAATTCATCTGTTCCAGTTGTAAGAACATAAATCACCAATTCACATTATCAAATGTTTTTTGAGCGTCTAAAAACATCAAAGCCATTTGTTTTTTGGGGTGCGCCTCATAATACTCCAAAGTATCCAGAATTATTCTCATATTACCTTTAAATTGTCTTTTTGGTAAAAACCCATTTTGGTCAGGGTGGATAAAACTATTTAAGTATTTTTTAAGTCTTTCTGCTAATATTGAAGCAAATAACTTATAGTCTGAGTTTAACAAAGAGATGGGTCTCTAGTTCTTAATTTGTGATAAATCAGCCTCCTCTTTTGACAGAAGTGTAATATATGATATTAAGGTATCCTGCTCTCTGATATCACCTTGTTCATAACTTCTAATGGTGGGAGGAACAACAATTCCTGAAGCGTCTTGTAGAATTCCTCTGGCAGCCCGTCTGGACCTGGGGCCTTTCCATTATTTTGTTTTTTAAGTGCTTTGGTTAGCTCCATCATAGTTATTCTGCTTTCTAATATTGTCTCAATTTCTTTAGGTATCTGGGGAAGGTTGGTTTCTTGTAGGTATTGTTTAACACCTCCCTCTTCCATATTATCTTGTTCATACAGCTCACCATAGTAATCTTGTATAATTTTCTTCTTCTCTGCATTTCCAAGACAAATTTGCCCTTGGTCATCTCTTAAATGCAGTATTTCCTTTGATTCGCTCTCTTTTTTCAATTTATACACCAACCATCTACCTGGTTTATTGGCATTTTCAAAGTAATTCTATTTAGCACCTCTAATTTTTTGTGCTAATTCCTCCTTTTCCAGTAGATCCATTTTGTGCTTATTTATGTCCATTTTTATTTTAATGTCCATTTTTTGGTGGGGATTTCTATAGTTCTTTTTCAAAGTATTTGCTTTTCATTTCATCCCCAGCTCCTCCATTTCCTGAAACAAGTGTCATTTAACAATACCATGGGGGACAAAGTTTCCTTTGACCAGAATGGTGTGCTTCTAACAGCATTTGATGTTATAAATTGGGTTTTGGTTCCAAACAAGTCTTTTGTTGGAATAAAGGTTGGAATGATTAACATCCAAGAATCAAGAGATCCAAAACTGACTATGAATAAAAATCTTATTGTCTGGAACACTTGGTTTAATCACGTAAGACATAATCTTCACATTTTGGGTTATTATTAATAAAGTGTGCTAAAATGTGTCATTGCTCAGAATGAATCTGCCACATATTTCTTTAAATTGTATAACAATTTAGATTTGGTGTGCATATAAAAACATTGTCATCTGGATGTTTCTAAATATATAGACATTGTACTTCTCTAAAATGCACATTTGTTCAAATCTTATTTACAGTATGACACACATAATTTGTATTAAAATGTTAACATATTATTTTACCATTATTCTAATATAGAAGGATAAATTAATTTCAACTTGGGTTTCAGTTGTTGAAACTGAAGTATATGAACAGACACTTTTTTCAAACTTCTCTTTTTCTCATGGCATAACTCAGAACTAAGATACTATTTTCTTTCTTCCTGAACTTTCTATATTGTACTCTCCTTCTATTATTTATCCTATTCTTAGATACCTTTAAATTAAGTAAATGGTATGCAAACATTCATAAAGACATTTCTGTTTGTGAATACTTTTCCAGACAGTCTATATGAAAAATGCTTTATTGCTGTTAAGAAAATTGTGCATTGTCACCTAGTAATGGTAAAGATAATATCCATCACTAACATTCTCAATATCCCATCTTCCAACCTTTTTGTGAAATTCATTTAATGGGTTTCACTTACTTGAGAGATTTTATTATTTATTTATTTAAAAAGTTTAATAGTTAGAAAAAGATATTTATGCTTTTTTTTAATTTTGTCCATTTGTCCATTTTGATGTTATAATAATTAGCTTCTTTTAGATACATAAAGAGGCTTGTTCACATAAATGAATAAACAGAGGTGACCCATTTTATAAAGTGACTATATTAGTGATGTAGAAATATTTAGTAATTTTAAAAATGGATTTTTTAAAAATATGCTTAGATTCAAGGCAGAATTAAAAATTCTAATGATTTCTGAATCATTAGACTCAAAAGTACTTTTGTGACGAGAATAGAGGCCTGCAGGAATGTATTAGATCTAGCATTCTTGTATATGCAAGAAGCCTACAAGAAAAAGAGGTTTGCTATTGCCTTCTCTCCTCCATCATTAACTCCTCTAATGTAAGATTAACAAAGCTAATAGTGGAGGGGAGAGAAGCATCTAGCGACGAAAGGAAAACAGCTTCACCAGGGTCTGAGAAAAAGACAGCCAATTTTGTACAATGTGGCCCTGCCTGCTCTTTTTTCCTATCCTGACATATTGAGCTTTGGAGATGTTCCAAAGATAAATGAGTGATCAGTGGTCGGATTGGTATGGAGAAGGCCAAAGCAGCAGTGTGGACCCCAAGGGTTGTGAAGCAGAACATAAGGTATCTTAGTGGGTGGGGAGAGGCCTGGGGGGGGGAGGCAGGTGATCTTGTTCATTCACTAGCCAACCCCTTTGTCTTCCTCACACCTGAGTTACTCTGTGCACATTCAATGACCTGTGCATTTGATTAACAAATATATGAAAGAGAAGAGGGATGGGGGAATGTTCACTTAACATGATTTGTTTAATATCTTCCTGGGTGACAAGCATAATGGACAGACTCCATTCCAGTTGTAATTTAAGGACTACTTACAATTTGCACAACCACAGACACACACACACATACACACACACACACAAATGCACAAACGCACTCATATAAGAAATACACACATCCATAAAAGTTTTCATGAAATACATAGCATTATATTATATTGGCTGCAATAAAAGATAACCATCTTCAGTTTTAAGATTTAATACATAATGTTTATTTACAAGCAACTCATTCTAAAAGCAATTCATGGAATAATTGGAGGCATAAATTGGAGCCAATGTTAAATAACTCTTTTGATGTAAGTGAATTTCCAAATATACAGGGCGGGGCATAACCTTTTCCTAGGGGGTCACAGCAACACTTGTAATAACAACACAAATAATTCATACACCNGGTGAGCGAATACTTTTGGCAATATAGTGTATATCAACAGATACATTTATGAATTCGAAAATCATCCTGGGAGTGAAAGAACAGAAGCTTGCATATTATAAAATGTTAAATCATCTCTTTAATGTGCAAATGTTGCTTTGTTTTAAAAATAGTCTGCTGTAAATAGTAACCTTGCAGAGTAAATATCACCCTTTAGATTGCTGTGGGCCCTCATGCTGAGGTAACTTTTAAAAATTTTATACCAAGCATGACTCCTAAACTACTATGTAGAACTCAACTTTATTGCAGAGAATCTTATTGCTTTCAAAAAAGATAAATAGTTAATTTGTTTTTACTCTAGAAATTTCACATACATTTTATGTAAGTTTGTTGGAAACTACATAGATGAGGTCCATTCCTGTCTTCCTCTAATTGATAGATCAACTTCTGGGTCACGTTTTTGTACCAAGTATGCCTCTTAAACTATGGAATATATATCTATATATTACTGAATTAGTCTGACACATAATGAAACTCCCACTGTAGGGTTATGACTCAGAACTACCAACATATTCTGGCCTTGGACTTTGCAATAAAGAAAATCAATGAAGACCCACAGGTCTTACCCAACATCACTCTTGGATTCCATATCTATGATAGCCATTTCAATACCAGGTGGGCCTTTCGTTCTGCAATGCAACTTATTTCTCCAAAGGAGCAATTTCTCCCAAATTACCATTGTGATAGTAAAGACAATCTTCTTGCAATCATTGAAGGACTTGGCATTGAATCTTCCTCTCAGATCCCAAATATTTTTAGCATCTACAAAATTCCTCAGGTAGGATATATGTATAGATTATATGCATTTAGAAGTGATCCAATTATCTTTTTTTTAATCAGATATTGATACATTCTTTAGGCAGATTTGGATTTATTTCCTCTAATCATATCAAATTTATTGGTGTGGCAATATAGCTCATCTGAGAAGTATCATCCCAGATTATTCCAGCATTAAAAAGTTTTTCAGTGCTGTTAGTGTAGCTAAAAAATTAGAAGTTAAAGAAGAGAACGTTATAATGTTCTCTTCATAACGTTAAAAATGATATTTTATGAAATACTATCAAATCTTTATACTTCTTGTGAAGGATAAATTCTTAGCACAAGGTACTTTTTATCCAAAAGAATTTTCATTTTTTTTTAGAAAATATAGAATTTACCTCTTTAGCATATTAACAAAGTTGGTTCCANGATGGGCTTTCGAATGGTGTATGAATTATTTGTGTTGTTATTACAAGTGTTGCTGTGACCCCCTAGGAAAAGGTTATGCCCCGCCCTGTAGAAGGTTGGATTAGTCTGTTTCTAGTTTCAGATTTTTCCAGTGAGCTTGGATAAGCTGCCTCCAAATCAGAAGAGGAAAACTTTTGGTTAATATTTTTACCTAAAGAACCTATCTAGTAATATGGGTCCTTTGAATGTAAGGAATCTAAAGTTATCCTTGTGAAGGTTTATCTTGGTTTATGTTGTCTACTCTCACTGATGAATTAGGTGCAACCTTTCTCAGTTTGTAATGAAAAGTGCCAACCTGGTTACAGAAAACAAAAAAAAGAAGGGGAGCCATTTTGCTGCTATGATTGCATTCCTTGTCCAGAAGGCAAGATTTCTGAATGGGCAGGTAAGCGAGAAAGTGCTTTTCTCAATGACTTTAGTCACTATTAATCAGTAATGGCTCATGTCATTGAGAAAAGTACTGAATGAATAAATTAAAGTTTCTCAGATTTACAATGAAGTTGTTAGTACTCAATCGTTCCATTTTTAATTTACTGATTCTTATGGAAAATAGGAAATATAATTGTCTGTTATTTTCTTAAATATGAAAATTTTCAGCTTAAGGAAAATTCTATCTTTTAGCCTATATTTCTCAGTAAATTTCATTTTCATTTTAAATTTTGTTATTTACTCAGGAAAAAAGCAAATCAGATTGTTGGAATTATTTGGCATTAGTTTTGGGTCGCAGTGTTTTTGTTAACCTAAAAATATGATAGATAGGTGGTATATAGTTTGTCTTAGATAAATGATAGCTAGCTAAACAGCTGAGCAGGTAGATAGCTGAAATGCTAGTTATGCTAGACAGAACTAGAGAAGTCAGTAGAAGAAACCATAAGAGTGAATGAATTTTGGTAGAATCCAGATAAGGCATCCAAAATTGAGTTTTTGTAGAAATGAGTCATTCTTCAATCACTCATTTGTGAAAAGTGAAAAAATTTTCTTGTAAAAAATTGTTTTTAACACTTTAAAATTAACTTGTATATGAACTACATGAGTATCAAACATTGTGTATCTAAGGATAAACTTCTGTTTTCCAGATATGCCTGACTGTGTTGAATGCAAAGAAGGCCATTATCCAAACAAGCAGCATAATATCTGCGTTCCTAAAATTGTAACATTTTTGTCCTATAATGAAACTATAGGAATGGGTTTAGCCATCAGTGCTCTTTTCCTTTCACTGATAACAGTTGCCTTATTAAGAACATTTATAATGCATCATAACACTCCCATTGTGAAAGCCAATAACCGAGACCTCACTTACACCCTTCTCATCTCTCTTCTGCTCTGCTTCCTTTCTACACTGCTTTTTATTGGGCAGCCTCAAAAGATCACGTGTGTCCTGCAACAATCTGTTTTTGGCATAGTCTTCTCAATAGCTATTTCTTCAGTATTAGCCAAAACCATCACTGTGGTTCTGGCATTCATGGCCACCCAACCAGGAACAAAGAGGACTAGAAGGATGGGGAAAGGATTGGCCAATTCCATTGTTATTTGTTGTTCTCTTATTCAAGTAGGCATTTGTACTGCGTGGCTGTTAACCAGTCCCCCATTTCCGGATGCTGATATGCACTCAGGAATGAGTGAAACTACCCTGCAGTGTAATGAGGCATCCCCTGCCATGTTTTACAGTGTGATTGGGTACATAGGCTTTTTAGCCACTGCCAGCTTTATTGTGGCTTACTTTGCCAGGAATTTACCTGACAGTTTCAATGAAGCCAAATCTATTACATTCAGCATGCTAGTGTTCTGCAGTGTGTGGTTGTCATTTGTTCCAAGTTACCTGAGCACTAAAGGAAAATACATGGTNAATCTTTTTAGCTCTCCTATGGCTCTGCTCCATTGACAATGAATCACACCCAAACCACTTACTTCTACCAAATGGTTCCAAATGAAGCCCATCAGTATAAGGAAATTCTCAAATTACTTCTCTATTTCAGGTGGACCTGGGTTGGATTTTTCATTGCAAATGGAATAAATTCTGAATGGATATTTCAAATTATGGTTCCAGAATTTGTTACTTGTGGACTTTGCTTTGCTTTTATAGATACAATCTACAATATAGGAATGAAAAGTGAATATGGGAATATTAAAAAATGGAAATATAAATTATGGAATAGAATCATGACCAGCACAGCTAATATATTTCTCCTCTTTGGTGATATTCGCACTCCAGTATTTTTGGACATGTTGTTACGTCTAGGAAGGGATAATGAAAGAACAAACAAGATCAATGGTAAAGTGTGGATTTTGACTGCTCAGCTAGAACTTAAATACTATAGTAATAAACGGGGTCAAAAAACTGCTGAACTAATCTATCATGGTGCTTTATCCTTGGCTATCCATTCAAGTGAACTACAAGGATTTAAGGAATTTATTTGGGACAGAAAGCCTTCCAATGTGAAAGAAGATTTTTTAATGAGCGACTTTTGGTCTTCTGCTTTTGGCTGCAATTTCCCCAATTGGATTCTGAACCGTAAATATAGAAACCTCTGCAGTGGACTGGAGGACTTGGAGAACATTTCTGAAAACATTTTAGAGAAAACCATTACTGGGCATAGCTACAGCATCTATAATGCTGCCTTTGCTGTGGCTCATGCTTTGCATGCCATGTATTCCTCCAGATTCAAGTACAAAAAAATGATGGAGAAGAGGAAATGGACATCTCTTACTCAGCAATCATGGAAGGTAATATTTCGAAAGGCCCATTGGTTCTTTATTCTCAGTAGTGGAGCTAATACCATAAAAGCATACAAGTAATTATTTAAATAAACTGCAGTGAGCAAACCTGTTAATAGGAATCCTTGTATTAGTATAATGCTTTCTATAACATGGGTGGGGGGCATATGAATTTTATCAATATTTATTAAATTTATTACTCTTATTATTGTGTAACAAACAATTCTAGAAAATTTTGTATACAATTTTTTTATTAAGATCACAATCCATTTTTTGACATAAAATTCTTAAATGGCCTATTTAAAAAGTTGTTACATGACTAATGTTATGTAAGATGTAATTATCTTTTGTTTAAAAACAGAATCTGGGGTATCTTTTCATGCTTGATATAATATTAAATTGTTTACTCACAATTATTTCCTATTTAGTTAAATAGAGCTTAATCCTAAGTAAGTAGTTCAATTCCATTTAGTTAGTTCAAGGAAAGTTCCTGCTCAGTTAATTTGAAATTTAAAATTTGTTGCACAATAATTAATTGGTATTCAGGAAACATATTCCTACAAAAATGCACTTAAATATTTAGGGTTTGTGTGCACGTAGGTTTCTTTGTGTAAATGACTTCTAATCATTTACACAAAAATTTCATGGCCAGATTTTTGGAAGTGGTTTAACCTTGCCTTCTTCATAAGTCTGGGAGGGAGAGATCACCCACTTCACTTCATGCCTAAGGCAGAATTAGAACTCACAGTCTCAGAACAGAACTCAATTCTGATTACCTGCTGATTTCCCATTAAGTTTCCTTATAGAGAGCTGGGAGCATCAGAAATCTTCCTTCCTTTTTTCCTTCCTTCCTTCCCCCCTCCTTACCTCCCCTTCCTTCTTACTTGCTCTCTCTTCCTCCTTTCCTTCCTTCTTCCCTCTCTCCTGGGTTCCTCTTTTACTTTGTTATAGTAAGCTTACAAGGAGAAAATCAGTCAGAAAGTAACAAGTTACACTATCTAGCTACTGCTGCACCATTGCTCATTAAGACAATCTGAATTATTGACTTAAAATCAGTTCAAAGCCAATAGAATTTCCTAGTGTGAGACACATTTGGAGCTGACTTTTACATGAAATTATTCCAACCTCCAATGACTTACGGTATACATGTTGTGTCTGGAAGTGGATAGGTGAAACAAATATTCACATCTTTCTTCAGTTCCCTGAGTTGGAACACTTTCTAAAGTATTTGTTTTTCTTTTTTAAAAGAGTTTTTTATTTTTAGACAAAGATGAACAACACATGAAACATAAAACCATCATCAATTACATATACATCTAGCATGTCGTTTGGTTAAAAACATTTGTGCATCACTGCTTTCAATTATATATAAAATCACAGATTGTCCATCAAGTATACATAGGTACATTTTTTTCATTGTAGATCGTATGTTCAGCTTACAATTGTTATTCCTTCATTTTAAACAAATATTCTAAAGATTAGATTCATGTATATACCAACATTCCATTACATCATTATTAATCTATNGAAGCCAAATCTATTACATTCAGCATGCTAGTGTTCTGCAGTGTGTGGTTGTCATTTGTTCCAAGTTACCTGAGCACTAAAGGAAAATACATGGTTGCTGTGGAGATTTTCTCTATTTTAGCTTCTGGTGCTGGATTGCTGAGTTTTATATTTTTCCCCAAATGGTACATCATTGTTGCGAGGCCTGAACTGAACAACCGGGATCAGCTTAAGTGGAGAAAGCATTGAAGAAGCAAGGCAACTGTCTCAGCAAGTTACATCTATTACATACAGGGAAAAAAAATGACACAATGCTTTAAAAAAAGGCTACTGTAGCACCATTTGAAATAATATTGGCTGACTGATGGTGGTGGGTTTGGTAAAGGTAGTATGCCAAAAACAGAAAGTTATGATTACAATAATAAAAACTAATATCAACTGAAAAAAATAAAAGAATAAAAAGAAAGAAGTAGAAGGTACGTAAAAAGATAGAATGTAAAAAGAAATAAAAATAAAAAAGGAAAGTAAGAATATAGTAAAAAATTGAATAGAAATATATAAAGAAGTTACTTTCCCCCATCATCAGAAGTATCATCATTCCAGGCTTAATACAACCAAATCCATTAATGGTTAGCAAGGCTAATAACATATCTACTTTAATCTTGGTCAAATAAATCAGTTGTGTATTCCCTTCTTTTCTTTTTAACAGTGCATTTAAATAAAATCAAGAATCTTTTTGTTTTTTCTTTATCTCTTCTCATAAGATTATTTAAAAATTGAGCTAGTCTCTTGTAAATCCATTTTAGGGAAATAATCTAGATCATTCTCTCGATTTATTCTTGTGTATCCATTTTAGTTATTAAAATATCAGATTTCGTTTTTATCTCCAACTTTTTCCATGTGACTTTTGTAGCCTAATCTGGTTTCCACTCAATCCTCTTCCATAACCCTTTTTGATGTAGTCTCTCTGTAGAGACAGATGTCTCTGTTGACACTGAAAATTAATTTCTAAGTCTCTTGTTTCAAACTATCCTCCAATATATTCAATATTCTTTTTTCTATTTATTTTGTAATTGTAAATCAAGGTTCTATGTTCTTCCCTTTTAATTGCAATATTTACTCCTCTCTGCTTTGATATAGTGTTCAGTTTTTTAAAAATCTTATTATGTTTTTTTTAAATAATTCAAAAGTATTTTTTCTTAGGAAGTAATCTTTACAATGAATTCCATAATTTTATTTTGAGCTGATTATCTGGGTCTATTTGTAATTTCTAAGATCAAAGTTTTAATCTTCCTTTAGTTGCTTAGGCAAACAATATGTTTATTCTATCATATTTTTAATACTGCTCTTCTCCCCCACAAAGGAAATCTGTTAATAAAACATTAAAAACATGTATCAAATTTTAGAAGTGGCAAGCAATATTAAAAATTAATCAAAAGGTTAGCTCCTAGGATGCTAACTTGCCTCACAGCCAGGGATGGGCTTCAAAAACAGCAACGAGTTCTGTGCCCAGTTGCTGGGTGAGTGTGGCCATGATGGACATGACCTACTCAGCCTCCTGCACCATGACTGATGGGGGGGACTTTCACATACCCCAGGCTCCAGAGGCTTTCATCAAGCCTCTGAGAGGGCAAAAACTAGTTCCCTCAGGCTCTGGAGGTGCTCTGGGGTGTTCTCAGTCTTCTGGAACTTCTGGGAGGCCTGTTTTCCCCTCCCTAAGCCTTTGTGCAGGCCCTGCACTTAACTTGCATCCAAAATGGGCAATGTAGAGACTCGTGGAAGGGCAGGGGAGGGGTGAGGCCAGTGAGAGGTGGAATTTGGAGGTTCTCCTAATTGGCCATAATGTTAGTTATGAGCAAACCCATAGCAGCCCAACCCTCCTCACAGCTGAATGTTTCTTTTTGCATTCAAAGCAGGGCTGCAGAACAATGTTTTCATGGCTAGCTGAAAGGCCAGAAGAGAAGCTCACGAAACCTCTGGGGGTCTACAGGATGATGAATTGCAATAGTCCAAATAGGAAATGATGAGGCATGAGTGACTGAGAAGAGAGTCTTTCTATCCAGGAAAGGGCATAATTACAATATGAAGTTGAGCCCTCCAAACCACAGCTGCTGTCTATTCTTTGAGCAGGAGCCATGCATCCAGAAGGAAGTCCATATTGGGAAGTGCATATTATGTTCTTAAACATGCAGTTAAAACTTTCTAAAGATTAATGAAATTTACCCAGTGCTGCCACAAATATCAATCCAAAGGTTTCTTTTAAAAAGAAACATTTCCTAACGGTGAGTTAATTGACAAGAAATTTCTGAAATTTATTAGAAAAGGAAATATGAGAACTAAATATCTTTTCTAAGGTAATGGCTGTGGTTTGAGAAAGGTGGTTGTTCTCTTACCTCCAAGAGCTCCAAGCCTGCCAAAGAGTTTTATATTGTGGTCTCCTTCCAAAAAAGTGGTTTAGAGCATTTGTGTATGATTTCAAGTCCTCTCTTTGTCCTGAGATGTTTCAAAGACATGGTCTATTAACCAGATTTTTATTCTGGTTCTTGGCTTTGTCCAGCTTGATTCTAAACTAGTGGGGTTCTATACAATGGACAAATGACACTCTCATTATTTCAACAAGAACTTTTGTAAGAGGAGTTCAAGTTATTTTATTCAGGAAAAGCTGAGAAAATGAAGTGAGACTCACATTTGCCACATCAAACTCGAGACATTAACCTAGAAGAAAGTGAAGTCAGGCTGGGAAACAGAGGGCAGTATAATATCTAACATGAGCAAAATCACTACTTCTAAAATGAAAAAGAAATATATTCTGGAATGTTGCTTTAGATAATGAGAACAGGATGACTAAAAATGGTTAACTTCAATCCTAAAACTATATGAGGGTAGTCTTGACCTCTAATATGATTGCTCATTCCTGGTGAGAATCTGGCCTTGTCTGCTCCCAGGCTGCAATTTACTGCTGGTATATGACAGGCTAGTTGATTATGAGATCTTTTTGTATATGACCAGGTGATATGTATCACCAAAACGTTGGCTGAGCAAGATCAGCAATCTTGCTGTCCTTGAAATTTGAGCAGTTGTGTTTCAGATTTTCAAAAACGTTGAAGTCAAGGCTGAGAAGGGATGCTGATAGAAGTCATAAAATATGTCTGGTCTGTGGCTATGGACTCCATTCCTGAAATACTAGTATGTGAGTTTCTTATATTAAATTAGATTGCAGCAACAAGTTTGAGATTCTGCTTGTGTGTCCTGCCTACTTCTGGCCACCAAAAACATTTCCTGGGCAGCTGGAATTGGTCTTTGATTTGGGGGTAGAGAAACTCCAGAAGTTCTTTGTATTGAGAGACTTCAGTTTCAAAGATGTTGGGACCAATTTCTATAATGTATTTTTTCTATTCCTCCCACCGCCCCCCATACCAGGATGGTAATCATTTTTCTTACAGAAGAAAAATGCAATTAATATAAAATACATCACATAAGGGAAATGCAAGACCTTGATATTACTTTTTCTATAATTTTCTTCCTGTCATTCAGACAGTTATGTAATGAAACATTTGCATGTTTCTCTCTGGAATCAGAGAAAGATTTTGTTGTGTCTCAGGTGACAATCAGCACATTATCTGGGCTCTCATTGGTTAAAACACATGGAGCGTTCTTGTGGGAGAATGACGAGTTCTAATTGGTTGCTGGTTTGACAGCTGCCATATAAAAAGCTGTCAAACCAGAATTGTTCTGTCCTGTTACTTCTGGTTGTCAATAAACACTTCTGGTTGACTTGCCTCCCACCTCAGCTTGTAATTCCTTGGTCAGGAATACACAAAACTGGCGAAGAGGATGGGATGCTAAGTTCCCTCAGTTCCCAGGCTAATGAGTGAATTACTGCCACAGAATGGCAACTATGCCTACGTTCGCTCCATTTAGCGCAGATAAAAAATCATGGGAGACTTTCATAGAATGCTTTGAATGCTTCCTGATGGCAAATGATCTGGCTGAAGCTGGCTTCCTAGCGATAGGAAGAAATGATACTTCCTTAGTCCCTGTGGGCTGGAAATGTTTGAGACAGTGCAAGCCCTGTCAGCACCAATGTCAGTCAATATAGTGCCATGGGAGTTTCTTTTGACTAAATTAGAAAAGCACTACGCTCCGGCCCCGTCAAAGATTGCCAGAATACATGCTTTTAGACAGTGACTCCAAAGTGAGGGAGTATTGATCAGTCAATATATGGCCACACTTCACAGAGAAGTTATCAATTGTGAATTCCCTGTGTTAGATGACACGCTACTGGAGCAGTTTGTGTGTGGGATTAGGGACTTGCACCTAGAGTGGAGGTTGTTGGCTCATTCTGAAATCACCGTCCCAATAGCAGTCAATGAGGCCAAAGCTGATGAAATGGCTGAGAGATCGACAGTCCAAATTCAGCTCTATTTGGCAGCAGCCTCCTCAGGACTGAAATTGGCTGCTGTCAACCACCAGGGAATCCCTGAGGAAGAGGTAGATGAAGGCTCTGAGGGGATCGACTGCCTCAAGACACAATCTGCCAAATGGCCACAGGAGGGTTGCCTCAGTTGTGAAGGCAACCATTACAGATCAAATTGCCATTTTAAAATTGCCATATGCAGATGCTGCTGCAGGAAGGGGCATTTGGCCAGTGTTTGCCATGCTTCCATGCCTACACCCAGCCAGGCAGGGGACAGCTACGGGGAGAAGAAGTATGCTAGGCAAACTGGGAGGTGAAAGACATCCTGCTCCGCTATTTATGACAACCTGCCACAAGAAGTGTGGGATGTGCAATCCACAGGAGAGCGTGCCTTGAGAGGAAAAAAAATTCTCACAGTGCTGATGGAAGGATCCCCATGCAAAATGGAGATTGGTACAAGATCGGCGAAATCAATCGTCTCCTGGCAAACCCTGAAACACATAATGCCTAATTTCTCTAAAGATTCTCTTTCTCATTGCAGTTGCCATTTATGAGATTACCAGGGGAACTCTATTCCGGTGCTGTATTGGTCTAATGCCTAGTGTTTAAAGGCTGATTACCGCTCATTGTAGTTGCCAATCCATTGGCTAGCCTGTTAGGTATTGATTGGCTTGAACCCTTGGGCCTGACTGTTGCCAGCATTCACACATCTATCGTTTCTAATGACTTTGAGGAGCTTGCAAATGAATTCGCAGGTGTTTTTGATGAGAGCCTGGATAATTATAAGGGCACCCCTATTACCCTCAATTTAGACACACAGGTTTCCCCAATCAGGTTGAAAGCGCAGAGAGTGCCATTCGCACTCAGGGCCAAAGTTGAAACTGAATTGGATAAGTTAATCCGCCAAGGAATCATGGAACCCGTCGATCATGTGCAGTGGGAGACACCCATAGTCACCTCTGTGAGGCTGATGGGTCCATTAGGATCTGTGCGGATTACAAAAATACTTTGAATAGTCTTGCAATCCAATCTGTACCCTATGCCAGTGGTGCAACACTTACTACACTCTCTGGGACAGGGACGGATCTTTGCTAAATTGGACATGGCACAGGCTTGTTAACAGCTGCCTGTGGACGAGGCTACAGCCAATGCCCAAATGATTATGACACACAAGGGGGATTCCGTTGCCGCAGGCTCCAATTCGGACTCTGCATTGCCTCTGGTATTTTCCAATGTTTAATGGAAAGGCTGCTCCAGGGGCTAGATGGGGTAGTCCCATATTTTGACGATATATTACTGGCTGCAAAGGATGGGGCTGACCTCATCTGCAAGTTGCGGGCTGTGTTATAGTGTTTTAGGAATGCTACGTTTAAAAAAGAGTAAATGTCACATGAGAGTGCCCTCCGTAGAGTTCTTGGGGTTCCGCATTAATGCTGAGGGGATCCATCCTACCAAGTCCAAGGTGGATGCCATCCACAATACTCCTACCCCTAAATCTAAGAGTGAACTCCAAGCATTCTTAGGTCTGCTTAACTTTTACGTGGTTTTCCTTCCCATAAAAGCTTCAGTGGCAGAGCCGCTTCACTGTCTGCTGGATGGGTCAGCGAGTTGGCATTGGGCCACTAGGGAAGCGGAAGCTTTCACAGAAGTAAAGACCCTTGTCATATCATCGGCAGTCCTCATACAGTATAATGAATGACTGCCGTTGACCCTCGCTTGTGACACGTCACCCTATGGCGTCAGTGCTGTCTTAGCCCACAGACTACCTAATGGACTTGAGGCACCTATTGCCCCATTAACAGCTCCGGTAGGAGACTGCCCACAACTCTGGATCACATACAATCGCTAATGGGTAGGAGACTCCACACCACTCTGGATCGCATACATCCCAATTATGTCACCAGTCAAAGCCCGTTAAAAGAGTACAACACCTGGAGGTTCAATATCGGGGACTGGGTTTTCGCCCAAAATTTTGGAGGGTCCACAAAATAGGTGCCATGGGAAATAATGGAGATAACAGGACCCTGCTCTTACAGGGTTCTACTGAATGATGGTTGGGTATGGCAGCGGCATGTAGATCAGCTACGCCACCAAGAAGCTTCAATGGGCATGGATGCCGCTGAAAACCAGGCTTCAATGAATTGACACTCGCAGGCCCTACTGTCACAGAACACTGAGGAATCAACGACTCGCTGTGCACCACCTACCAGCCAAGTTCATCACCATTGCTGATCACTAGGCCAACCACTACAGCCGACACAGCAATGGACTACTCACTTCCAACATCCACACTCCCATTGGACTCTTCCAGAAGGCCATGGGAGTACCACTGGTTATCCCTGACTATGAACCCAACTTCTCCTACTTCGGGGCTGATGCCAGGCCTCGATCTATGATGCTCGGGAAGGATCGGGCACCAGCCGGCACACCTTTCGGACTACGAATGTGCAATCTGGGGGGAAAGTAGTGTTGTGTCTCAGGTATCAATCAGCGCAGTATCTGGGCTCTCATTGGTTAAACACATGGACTGTTTTTGTGGGAGAATTATGAGTTCTAATTGGTTGCCGGTTTGACAGCTGCTATATGAAAAGCTGTCAAACTGAAGTTATTTTGTTCTGTTACTTCTTGTTGTCCATAAACACTTCTGGTTGACTTGCTTCCCATCTCAGCTCGTGATTCCTTGGTCAGGAATACACAAAAGATTTGATCTTTTTAACTTATTTATTTTTTAAACTTTTTGTTTTCCCCAAAGTAGAGAGAAAATATTTCTATCCCAAGAGGAAATATTTTAGCACAACCTAAAGGCACAATGTAATTATTGCAATTAGTGTGTCTACTTTCTAAATTGGTTCTGGGTGTAAAATAGAGAATAACAAAACATCCATTATAAATGGTGGTACAAATGCCTTTCATTCAAAAATTAGACATGGAGAAATCCTACTGTATATTAGTTTGACTGCTAATATGAGTTGTTTTTCAGATATAGAAAATGAGATATTAGGAATGATGATACTTTATTATTAGCAAATGTTCATTACTGAATTCTGTCTTCAAATAAAGGCATTTTCACTGAAAATGAAAATTTGCGCTGAGTATGGATTATCAGAGATATTACTAATGATTCTACTTTCCTGGATATCATGTAAAGCTGCTAAATGTGAATTCCAAAACCTTCCTCCCATTACTCATCAATATTATCAGCCAGGAGACATTATAATTGGTGGCATTGTTTCACAAAGCTTCATCTTGTCTATTCCAGCAGATTTCAGCCATCAACCTCTTCCAATATCATCTGATGAAATTATGTAAGATTTTCCCCACAATACAGTTTTCAGCAGATCTATACATTTGAAATGTACAGTTGTGTGTCCAGAAGAATGATGCAGGAACTTAAGCAGGAGTTGTGTTGTTAAAGGTTCAGATCATTTTATTGCTACATATCCATTCCATGTGTTTAGAACACTTTCCAAAGAGAAGACAGCATTACTCTAACCTAGAATCAACATTGTTAATTTACCCTAAGTGCCCAAGAAAGGAACATAATTATTTGAATTATAAAAATGGAGTAAATACTATTTTGTTTGAGATCAAAAGGCATAACATCATTGAAGATGTTTTTATTTATCTTTTAAAAATGCCATTTATATATTGTATTACGAAGTGGAAATTCAAGAAATAATTTTCTTTCCGTGGGGGAAGAAAACCCACTTCGGAATACATTACATTTATAACAGTGTCTTTGTTCCATCATTTTCACTTAATTTTTCATTTTAACTTTTTTCCATTGCTTATGCCTTTTCATTTGTTTTCCAAGGTGTCCAAATAAATGCCATTTCATATTATGCCATTCATGTTCTTTTTTGAAAAATTCTTTGAAATATTCTGCTTTGCAATATAATTAAATGGAAGAAAGAAACCTCAGCCAAACAATGCATTTTAAATCAGAAAATATTGCTACATTTTAAACATTTTAAAGAATTTTATTATTTTATTAAAAAGAGCAATACATGTATTTACACCTCTCTTTAAAATTGCTGTAAGAGAGCATCATGCTTTAGGAAATGTAGCATTTTTAAAAATAATGTAATATGTGAATCAAAAAGTAAATGCCCTAATTTATGAAGCAAGATATATTCTTATAAGCCATGGACATTTTTTTTTGTAGTGTGGTGACTAAGAACTATCAGCATGTCTTGGCTTTGGAATTTGCAGTAAAAAAGATCAATGAAAATCCCTTCATTTTACCCAATGTCACCTTGGGATTCCACATATATGATATCTATTCTGATGCCAGATTGACCTACCAAGCCACAATGCAACTTATTTGTACAAAAAACAAATTTATTCCCAATTATGAGTGTGGCCTCAATGATAAATTAAGTGCAATCATAGGGGGACTTCGCTCAGATACATCCCACCTGATATCAAACGTTTTAGGTATCTATAAGACTCCACAGGTAGGAGGCATGTACAGAGTGTGGATATAAAACAAAATGGGGTGTTCCAGGTTTATGTTTATATTTAATAGCCCAATATCAATGCATTTTATGTAGGCAGAGATGCTGTATCTTGTAATTAATCTCATATGTGTTTTTATGAAATTGTTTCAACTCAGTTCAAATCATATCATGTGATCTTCATGAAAAGGTAAATGAGAGGTTACTACCATCCTAAAATAATTTCTCAGCTTACAAACTGTATACAAAATTGTGTACTTTTAAGTTGTGACAGAGACACAAAAGTAATGTTTGAGAAACATGTATGCAAAACATGGAATAATTAAGTTAAAAAGAATATTTGAATGGGGAAACTGGAACCAACATAGGAAATTATGTATAAGAATTATTACTTTTAGAATGTTTACAATTAAAGATTTACACCAAGATTTTTTACTTATCTGAAATGTTGCTTTGCTTTGGCATTTATTTGGAGTAATGGGCTTAATAATTACATTTTTATCTCAATAGCTATTATCACCCATTGATATCCCTACTCCACTGTTGGGGTGTCATTTATTCTCAATATTATTGTTGCTGTATATAAAAATGTCCTTCAATAGCACAAATAATAAATATCCATCTTTTCTATAATTATATAAAGCAGAATTAAACTTTTGGTCTCATCAACTGATGATTCTCTTTTAAGTGCCACATCAATGGAATTAATCAAAAATGTAGAAAAGAAAGCGATTTCCCCCCTAAAAACATTTATTGCTATAACAAAATACAAAGAAATTACCATTGCCCTCCTAATTATCTTGATGTATCAGGCAATGAACCATGGATATTAGTTCCCATAGTAAATCATTAGACTATTTAAGTTAATAATTTTAGATTAGGGCAAATCATCATCAGCATTGTGCACTGATCCACAATACTACACAGAAATGAACACTGTATTTGACATTTCTATATATCACGTAACCCCATTTCTAAATTTGTTTGTAGCTCCTGTATGGTTCTACTCTGAAAAGGACAAATAAAACTGAATTCCTTTCCCCTTATCGGATGGTTCCAGATGACACCATTCAGTATCTAGGAATTCTGCAGTTACTCCTCCATTTCAAATGGATATGGATTGGATTCATCGCTGATGACAAAGATAATGGAGAAATGTTTCTGAAGCTCATGCTTCCATTATTTTCTGAGAGAGGAATCTGTTTAGCTTTTACAGAAACATGCCCTGAGAATGTAAGTTTTGAGGATTATAAGGAAGATATAATAAGGAAAGGGTCTGAAATGTATAATAAAATCATGAACAGTGTAGCCACTGCTTTGATCTTCTACGGAGAAGCTGATTCAATCATATTTTTGAGATGGGTGCTGTACTTTCCAGAAATAGAAGTCAGTTTATGCAAACCCAAAGGCAAAGTCTGGATTTTTACTGCCCAAATGGAGATAAAATCACTTGTTTATCAATGGGTTTGGGATATTCAGGTCCTCCATGGTGCTTTGTCTTTTGCAATCCATTCTAAAGACCTGCAGCAATTTAAACTGTTTATTCAGGAAAGGAAACCTTCCAGTGCAAGAGGAGATGGTTTAATCACAGATTTCTGGGAACAGGCCTTTCGCTGTGTTTTCCCCAATACTTTTTCAGGTCAAATTGAAGGTGATATCTGTAGTGGAGAAGAGAGACTTGAAAGTCTTTTGGGGCCCTTTTTTGAACTAAGCATGACTGGTCACAGCTACAGCATCTATAATGCTGTCTATGCAGTGGCCCATGCATTGGATGCATTGTTTGTATCAACCTCCAAACCTAGAACAATGATGAAAGAAGAGAAGATAATAAAACTGAATTATCAACCATGGCAGGTAAGTCCTATGAGAACTGCTACCACATAATCTATAGCTATAAGCATATACCAATAGTAAATGTCCATGTCATGAAAAACAAAAAGGTAAAGGTTCCCCTCACACATGTGTGCTAGTCATTCATGACTCTAGGGAGCAGTGCTCATCTCTGTTTCAAAGCCAAAGGGCCAGCACTGTCCGAAGACGTCTCCGTGGTCATATGGCCGGCATGACCAAATGCTGAACGTGCATAGAATGCTGTTACCTTCCCACTAATGGTGGTTCTTATTTTTCTACTTGCATTTTTACATGCTTTCAAACTGTTAGGTTGGCAGAAGCTGGGACAAGTAATGGGAACTGAAACAAAATTGAATTGTTTTTAATAAATACACACAAAGATTAGTGGTTTAGCAACACTGCCAACAATACCTAACACCTCCCTAATTAGACTTCACATCATTTGTGAAAGGGAGGAGGGGATAGTTTCCTAAGTGTGCTCATCTGTCATCATAAAACAGATTGAAAATTTTAGATTTTTTTTAACATGATTGAAATTAATTGGTATAAGGAAAAGTATTACTATGCCTAGGAAATGTTAATGTTATATCCCCAAAAGGCAGGTGTTTAACTTCCTAGAGAAAGATTGACCAAGAAAGATAGACACTACAGATCAGTTATGGTATTTCCAGTTTTTGAAATTAAAAACAGATTGTTTTTGGGCTAGATTAAATTCATCCCAAGAATCAGATCTGTAATCTGAGGAACGACTAGTTCCATCCCTGCCACTGACTTCAGTGGCTAACGATGCACATTATCAGTTTGGTAAATTTGCTCTGTGTGGAACAGTTAGCCTTTTTGAGTTATTTACTAGGTATGTCAATCCTGGATTACTGCAGCTACTTTCTAGATGGTCACTTCTATTTGGAAGGTGAAAATTGAGAAGGCTAAATTGCTGACTACTCAGTTTTACCCTGCATTTATTTCCATGAATGCTAAAAGTTCTGTATAAAAAGCCAATCTGTTACCAAGCCAGATACAGGAATGTCCATAAGTATAAAAGATTTGAATATTATAGGGCCATATTACTTTACCATTTATATCAGCTCTTCATTTCACAGACAATCTGTTACTTCTGGTCTGTGGAGGTCACAAGATTCACCACTTTGCCACAGAATGGAGATAAGATTTCTCTCCCTTAGTGCCAGTTGTAAAGAAATATTTTTTTCTCTTGCATTAAACACTGATATCTGTTAAGCATTATTTCAAACTGTGTTCTATCTGTAGCCACCAACTCACACTATTAAACTTAAACTGCAGATTATTTTATTTGATAATACTATATATAGATTTATACATTTTAGAGATGATATAGACAAAACTGAATATGGGTCTTTTCATCCTAGCTTCACTCATTTCTGAGGCAAGTCTCATTCAACAATAGTGCAGGAGATGAAATATTTTTTGATCAGAATGGAATGGTAGTTGCAGGATTTGATGTCATAAATTGGATTACATTCCCAAATCAGTCCTTTGCTAGAGTAAAGATTGGAAGAATGGATCCCCAAAACCCTAATCTAAACCAAACATTTACCATCAACCATGATGCTATTGTGTGGCACAGCTGGTTTAATCAGGTATGACTTAAATGCATCTGTAGGGCAGTACTCACATTTTTAAATAACGTAAAGAAATTGAAACTTTAAAGAACAGAATCCAAATATTTTCAGTGTTTTTTAATTTTGATAAACATACAAGAATTCTTCTCTAGAAAGAGAGGGTAGGAAGGAGAAGACAGAGGGTAGGAGTAGGGGAGAAGTAAGGGAAGGAAGAAGGGGAAGGAGAAGAGGAAGGAA